GCACAGTTCTCACTCACACTGGACACCCCCAGGGCACAGCTCTGCTCTGATGTCGGGCACCCCCTGGACATAGTTCCCTCCCACACTGGACACCCCCTGACCACAGTTCTGCTCTGACACAGATGGGTCCGTGATGAGGTTGGGCATGTTTTAATTAGTGACTGTGACGACGTGCTTGACAGATCAGAGATGGTGCGGATGGTGCAGGACGGGGCTGGGTTCATGTCTGTCCACAGGGTGACCACGAGCTGTAGCTGACCGGTGGCCCCCCCAAACTTAGGGTCTTACACAGTCATCACACTTACGCTTTGAGGGCTCTAATGAAAAGAAGTGATAAGGTGATGGTAAGTGGAGAGACGAGACCAAACTCCACACTCAGGAGCCTGACCGGAGAGCAGCGGGAGGAAGGACACCCCAAAGCAAAGGCAAAGCACTTCCTCTGAGGGAGTCTCGCCTCCCTTCACCCCTCCCACTCCCTGGTGCATGTAGGAAGCAGCCTGCAGGGTTCAGACCCGTTCTCACGGTCGTGTGATGCGTCCTCCACCCGGTGGCCCCTTCTACAAGAGCAACAGCACTGGCTCGTGACACACGTCTGCTGATTCTCTACGTGCCACGTCTCGTCTCACACGCAGGGCTGTTCACTTGATTGGAGTCTGTGGAATGAGACTCACACAAGTTGGGCTGGACCAGGGGAGCCCACACAGAGACGGAGAGGACTGGAGGGTGTCCACTGACAGGCTCACGCTCCCGGGCCCTCTGCATGCACGGGGGTCCTGTGTGGCCACACCTCACCCTGAGCTGCTTCAGGCCTGAGCAGAGAAGTCGGCTTCTGACAGGTGCAAACACTTCCTGCACAGAGGTGAGCTGCCCACCCAGACAGGACCATCTGACACCAAACAGGCACACATCTGCCCTGACACGGCCCCACTGACAGCCTCATTGAGCTACACTTTCAACATAGATAAAAATGTCTAAGTTGAATTTTATAAAGCTAGTTGCCTGACCCCTAGGACATCAAGATGCTGGAGATGGAGGGACAGGGGCAGCAGACACAGGAGAGTGAGCAGGGTGGCAGGACACCAGCGAGTTGGTGTGCTGTCCCAAGAAGGACTGGGGAGTACTGAGAGAGAATCCAGGGGCCTGAAGAGCACTGACAGTGCAATGTTATGCGTGAGGCCCCTAACCGAAAGGCCAGAGGTTCGGGCCCACCCGTGGCTCCTTGGAACAAAGAAGAACAGGCCCCGGCTGTTAGGATTCCCAGCTCAGAAAGTTGATGGGGGCAGCGTGGGTGGCAGCCAGCTGACAGCAATGGCATCAGGGATTTGGCAGGAGGGGTCCGGATTGGATCTCGGCCCAAATAGCCCACCTGCCATGGGGCAGTCAGAGCTGTCCACCGTGGCCATCCCCCAGTCAACGAGTTACCAAGGCAACTCGTGCTATTGTGATTTGCTGTCTTAGTTTTGAAAGGAGTTTTCATCCTTTAAAACAGCGTGTGGCTGTACCGTAGAGTCTGAACCGACGAATCGCTCTCATCACTGACCATCCAGCGTGCTGTCAGAGGCTGTAAATCACCCACGAGGAGGTGGCCTACCCTCCCATGAAGCTGCTGGTGGGTTCCAACATCGTGCCTTTGGGATTGCAGCACAGCTTCTTACCACTAGGTCACCAGACCTTCCTTAAAGAAGTAAGAGAGAGAGTGTGTGTGTGTGTGTGTGTGTGTGTGTGTGTGTGTGTGTTGTGTAGTGTACCGCAGAGTCAGAAGTGACCCATAGCTGACTCTCCAGAGGGTTCTCAGAGGCAGTTAATTGCATGGGAGGAGACTGCCCATCCTTCTCCCACAGAGAAGCTGGTGGATTCAAGCTGCGTGCCTTCAGTACTGCAGCGCAGCTTCTTGTCACTGGGCCACCAGAGCTTCCTTAAAGAAGTATAATGATGCACCCCCCCACCCCAAAGCTTCAGCACACAGACATTCCACCTGGATAAACTGCATGCCCCCCACCCAGTAGCTGCCACGCCTTCCCCCAACCTGGGGTGGAGCATCAGCTGCAGTGAAAATGAGGGCTCCCGCCAGTTCACTCCAGCTCAGGCCCCTGAAACGTGCATGTCCACCCTAACAGGGCCAGATGAGCAGCTCGAAGCGCCCTTGCTGAGTCCTCCATTCTTAGAGCACGTGAACGAATCCCCACTGGAGATTCGGACTCAGTTTATCTGGGGTGGAAATACAGGTTCTCAGCAGCTGGTCAGGCTGGCATGAACCGGTACAAAGGTCTGGGAAACCCAGGCTGTTTTCTGCAGGCTCCTCCCTCGAGTACGCCCTGCCATCGTCCCTGGACGGGACCTTGCTGGTCATGAGCACCCAGGGCCTGGTGTCCACTGGGAGGACAGAGACGCGACTCATGCTTCAGGCAAAGCTCCGGGACTCTTGGACCCTCGGGGCTCTGGTGGGCTGGCGACTGGGAAGTAGGGTGTTTGAGTTCACCTGTCAGTAATTCTGACAAAGATGGGTGATCTCCTCCACAACGACTCCATATACCCAGGGGAAGGTCACCGAGTCAGAGAGCAGTGGGGTCCGCTCTGAGTTTCATAGTAACACAAGGCGTCCACTTCAGTGCTGCCGCCGGGGGATGTGGACATTTGCTCCCAGGGAACCTTGTCCTGGAGGGGCCAGGGCCTCCAAGCATTGTCAGAGGAGGACAGAGAGGTCACCTGCTGAGAGGGCCACTTTGTGCCTTCAGGCCTGACACGGCACAGACGAGGCTCCTCAGGAACGGGGTCTCTCAGCCGCCCACCCCCTCATCGCCCTCATCTTTATCCCAAGGATCAACTGGTGGGTTTGAACTGCCATCTTTCCTCAGCAGCCTCACACACAACCACTGCACTCGTCTGCCTGTGTGAGGCGTGGGCTCACCTTGGTTCTTGAGTCTCGTGGTGGAAGGAGGGCAGCTAGCCTTGGTCAAAGCACCCCACAGGGAGACCACCTGGGGAGCACCCCTGGGCTTGGGGTGCCTGTGTGCGGGCTCGCCCTGGCTCAGTCCTCAGGACCCTGGGCCCTAACGCACTCCCACTTCGGGAGGCACCGCGGGCTCAGCCCTCCAGCTCCACAGGCCGATGTCAGGGCTTCTGTGCTGCCCTTTGTCTGTAAAACCTGCTCTGTCTTCTTGTGCTGAGGATGGGCTTGCTTGCTCTAATTTCCCCAGTGTTGTTTAAATAAATGGCACATATTTGCCGCTATTTTAAAGCTGTGAGACAAATGTAATAACAAAATCTGGTGAGAATCGATGCCAGACCCGCATAGGCTCCGGCAGGAATGCACAACCTTCGCTGGAGCCGCAGGGAAGACGTGACCTCGGAGCGGACAGGGACAGTGGGTTCTCTGTGCAGGGACCCACGGCAGCCCTGCTTCCCCAGAGTGTTCTAGGGGGGCGGCTTGTACGGACATTCTCCACTGAGGCCGGCCCTCTGCCCAGGGTGTCTTTTCTTTCTGTGGCTAAGTGGAGAGAATGGTGGTGAGTACTGGGGGCGGCTGGCCCTCTACTCTATGGCCAGTGGGTGGTGCACATGTGACTTAAGTGTGCACAAAGACCGTGTACGCAGGTGTCCCCTCTGTCCACACCAGCACACAGGTGCAGCATGCACGCACATGAAAGGGCTCATGTATCTGTGGGGTTTTTGTGGGTGTGTGTACGTATGTACCTGAATACACACATGTATTAGAAGTCCTTTGTATAATATATGATGTGTCAGGCTGTTAACTAAGGGTTAGTGGTTCAAATCCACCAGTGACTCTGATGGGGAAGACAGGCAGTCTGCTCCCTCCCGAGAGAGCAGCCCGGGAAAGCCAGGAAGGGTCCCTATGGGCTGGAACCGACTTAACAGCAGTGGGTGTGGTCTGTCCAGTGCCTCCACATATATACACACACGTGTGCAACTGTGCATATGTGACTTTACCAAAGCATGTGCGCCTGGTCAGGTAGACGAGTGTGCACGTATGGGAGTGTGTGGCTGCTTGTGCAAAGGGCTTGGAGGTGAACGAGTGTGCAGTGGTGTGTGAGAGAGTGTGCAACCACTGGTGTGAGCAAGTCTGTGTGTGTGTGTGTGTGTGGTGGGGGTGACAGCATGAGCAGAGGCCACAGTTGGGGAACTGCCCACCTCCTCTGACAGGTACTGATCCGGTGAACTTTTCCTCACATAGGTGGGACTGGTGGGGCTGACTGACCCTGTGACCCTTTGGGGTCTGTGCAGACAGAAGTGGAGGGATGTGGGGGCTCCACAGAGTCCACTTCATTTTAATGGCTCTGAGGCCATAGCTGGGGAACACTTACCAGCGGTTTGCAAACTCACCTGGGTTTGCAAATCACCTTGGGGGGTGTTGTTAGCTTCCCTTGAGTCCAGTATGACTCACAGTGATCCTAAGACC